ATGTATGGTACATAGTAGTATAATATAATTTTATAATGGACACTTAAAATCCCTCTAGTCATAAAATTATACAAAAAACAAACATAATATCGATGTTACAAACTAACATAAATGAATACAAACAGTTATTAAAATAAATTTCGCGTAAATATTACCATTTTCTCTGTTAATGCAATTAACGCATTGATTTTACAAATTATGTTTGTTTGTTTTTTATAGTAGAAAAAATAGTTTGATGTTTTAGTTGTTTGATGGAGGTGTTTGGTAGCARATTGAATCTTCTTTTAGAATTAGAATTTTTACCTTAACCTACTTTTTAAAATAATCGGGTGAAAAATATTATCATGCGTTAAAAATCTAATAGTATACAATTTTTAGTAACCTTAGGTATTTACCATTTTATCATGAAATATTTCATTTCTATGGAAAATAATAAAAAACGTATTTATTTATTATTGAATATATATATAASCTTATAATCATCAACGTGCAAAGGAAAATATTAAGAGTTTTTAGTATATGACATAAAGAAAGTATATTTAGCTTAAGTTTTGTCAAAAGATGAACTTATAAAATTCTTATAAAATAAATTCCTGTATATGTACTAATCTTTAAATAATAAATTTTAATCACTAGAATAACAATTTAGGCCTTAGGGTAGACGATTTTCGGTGTAAAAATGTTTGTGAAAAAAAATATATGATGTCAAATTTKTATAAAGTGATAATTTCATTTGACGTTTATTTTACAATGAACATCATACTATTTCTATAGTAAAATCTGCGATAATAAAAYGCTTTTAACATTTTAAATAACTTCTTTATCGATTAGAAATATGATACATGTATTAAGTGGATTATGACCGAATTTCAGTAAAAGGACATAATTTGATCATTTTCATAAGTTACAGTGGATAATAATAGTTACATAATATAATATTAATATATGTGTATGTTTTTATGAAATATTACCACATACGTCATTTGTATACTTTTTGTATAATTACTTTAAATCAAGAAATTAAGAATAATGTATCTCTGCAAGTACCTATCTATCAGTTCAACAACAATAAACTTTTGCTAAATTTATTGTTTTTGATGTAATTTAAATTTACAAATAATAAACATTGCAATATAATCCACGCCCAATGATTTAATTCATAAAATATAGATTTTTAATATTAAAAAATACCAATAATAATGAAAGATCGATTAGGTTTAAAAAAAATATTTTTTTATATAGTATAATATATTAATCACATAATTTTAATTGTTTTTACAGATAGGTTGGTAATGGTRTAATATAAAATTAATATCATAAATTATAAAAAGCGGGTAAGTCGTGGATGTCGCTYTGCTGTATAGTAGGTTACAAGTGGGTTAGGTTAGACAGAATTAAATTTGAAACCAATGATATTATATCATTATATACGAAAAACGATTCTGAATGGAGACGGTTTATCTGTCTAGGATATATATT